AAGGAGAGGAAGACCTTTGATGAGATGGATCGATTATGTGACTGGAGAGGTGGGAATAGGTGCATTTGAGATGCCTAGGTTGGCACAAGATAGAAGAACGTATAGAGCTCTTGTACATAGGGTCGCTATGAGTCGCAAACGACTCGATGGCACGTAACAACAACAACAAGAAGTACATATGAACTACTCCAGTAAAAACAAATTTATTTCTGTTTTCAATTTTTGATGCTTAATAGTTATTTAAGGGGCCCTGTTGGTGGGGAGTCCATAGGGGGTTGCCCTATTAACCCAAAGAGGGAGTGCCTTCTTGGCAGTTTGAATTCACCAGCAACTCTGTGGGAGAAATATGGGTAATCTCCTCTGCAATTTATAGTCCCTAAAGGTTCTGACTTGATGGAAATGAGTTTTTTGTCCCCCCAGTCTTATTTTTCTTTATTTGTTTTGTTAGATTCTAGGTAAAGTGTTAAGCACTTCATGTGAAATATCACACTGAAAAACAACCTGTGAAGCACTTATTGTTATTAGTTATGCCTCCCAAAGGAAAAAGCAGAGATAAACTGAGCCAGGATTAATAATTTGCCTTTGATACTACAGAGGGAAAGGACCTGAATAATTCATTAAAGTGGCAATATTTATATGTGCTACCTCTGCTCTTGACATAAGGACTACTGCAAAGACCTTGAGCTTGATGGCGATTGTGAGGATGGGCAGGATAAGGCAGTGTTAAGATCTGTCACTCATAAGCTCACTATGAGTAGCAGTTGCCTCAATGACACTAAATAATAGCAACGCTGCTGTCAGTACAGTAGATAATGTCTGTCTTCAGGAGCACACAATCCACTGGAAGAAGACCAAAGCCTAAAAATCTTTTAAAAAGAAAATAAACTCTCAACTGTTGTAAATCATGCAATTAAAGTTGATTACTTACAAATATGAACTTTGGATCACTATATAGACTTAAATTTGATTTCTTATTACTTATTGGTAAATAAACTGTGAAACAGACAAAAAAAGAAAATAAAAACAAATATGGAAGTTAAGAGCATAGTTAAAGAAGAAAAATAAACAAGAAGTACTCTCTTTCTCATATACTACATTTTACATAAAGTCATAGCAACAAAGACCTCATGATATTGATGAAAATTAGACAAACAGAAGTTTCAGAAAGGAACTGGATTGCCTGTAACTGTAGAAATTGCTATTAAGTGCAGGAAAAGCAAGATGAATGGGAGAAATCAAGAGGATATACAAACTACCTTAAACAACTGCTTTCTCAGTACTTCTATTAAAAAAAGTTATTATGCATGACACTTGAGGTGCTTTGATTCCACACGATTAGTGTTGCAACTGATAGCTGAGCTGGCTCTTGCCTAACTTCTTTCCTCTTGCTGAAGCAGAAACTCTGCCTTACTGAATCTTCACCCTAACAGAAGTGTTGCTATCTAAGTGGGCCAGGGCTGACATCTTCCATTTCAATATAAGTCTGATTCACATTCCTCCCTTAAATGGGCATTTTCTGCTTCTGTCTTCTTACTGGATATTGTATAGTGCTGTTTTTGTTGTTATGTGTTGTTAAGCCAACTCTGACTCATAACAACACTATAGGGCAAAAGAGAATTGTCATATAGGGTCTCCAAGGTTATAACTTATCTGGAAGCAGACTGGCAATCTATCTCCTGTGGAGTAGCTGGTGAGTTGAAACTACTGACCTTTTGATTAACACCTAAGCATTTGACCACTGAGCCAATTTCCTATTCACAAACAGAAACATGGCTGTCAAGTTGATTCTGAGTAATAGTGACAAAGAGTTGAACTGCCCATAGGATTTCCCAGACTATAAAACTATAAAGAAACAGACTGCCTCAAATCTCCTCCCCAAATAACTGGCAGTTCTAACCATCTAATTTTTGTTTAGCAGCTGAATGTTAAATCACCGAGTCACTGTTGTTGTTGTTATGGGCTTGCGACTCATAGCGACCCTGTGTACAACAGTCCTAAACTCTGCTCTGTCCTGTGCCAATTGCACTGTCTCTGATACACCCATCCCCATTACCCCAGTCACCAAATCAATCCACCTCATAGGGGGCCTTCCCCTTCTGCGCTGTCCCTCCACCCTACCAAGCATGGTGTCCCTTTCCAAGGATCTGTCCCTCCTTGCAACAAAGCATGTTAAATGGAGCCTTAGAATCCTTGTCTCCAAGGAGCAACCTGGTTTGACCCTTTCCAGGATGAATCTGTTTTCCTAGCAGTTTATGGTACCCTCACTAGGGCTCCTTAAATAGGAATCTTAGCAGTGTGTGAGATAACAACAGTTGAATCAAGTCGAATCATGATTTCGGGCACAGGTGGAGCCATGGTGAGTGAAACCAGAGTTACTTCATTCCTTTAATGACGTTAAGGAGCTCAGGTGGCCAAGTTACACTGCTAATACCACAGACCGAAGGCTGGTTCTTGGTGGTTTGAATCCACTAGCATCTCTGTGGGAGTAATATGATCTTCTCCTGTTGTGATTTACAGTCTAGGAGACCCAATGGAGGGTCACTGTGAATTGGTGTCAACTGGACAGCAGTGTGCTTTAATGAACTGGCACAGCCAGCAGATGCCCCTCTCTAGAAGTAGAAAATTGAAGAGGTTCTGTCCTATGAACTATTTTTCTGAACTGTAAATAATAACAATTCCAATATTTTTAAAAAAATTCCAGTTTTTGGAATGATAACACCTCTCTTTTCTCATCTTCAATATTAATAATTTTTTTTAATAGATTATCTCTTTCGAAAGAATGAGTTCTGGTGGTGTAGTTCATTGAGAATTAACATGCTAACCAAAAGGCATGTGTCTGGTTTTTTGAATCCTTCATGGCAGAAAGACATGCAGTCTTCTTCCCTGTTATTTCTAGTCTTGGAAATCCAATGGCGGGTCAACCATATGTCAGTTCTGACTAGATGAAATGACCTTTTGAGGTTTTTTGTGATTAATAATTTTTATTTTTATTATGTTTGTAATGAAAATTTATAGAAAAGTTAGAGTTTTCATTCATTCATTGTTGTATAATTTCCTCTCTACTGCCCCAGCTCACTTTTTTTTTTAAAAAAAGAAATATTCATTCATTGTTGCATTGGGCAACTGTGATGTCAAGGATCATTCCAAGGTGTTAAGGAGCAATGATGTTAAAGAGCAAAATATATCTGATGAAACCATGATCTTTTCAATTACTTGTTATGCATCTGAGAGTTGAACAATGATTAAGGATGATGAAGAAGAGTCAACTTCTTTAAGCTGTGAAGTTAGAGAACAGTACTGAATATCCCGTAGACCAAAAGAACAAACAAATATGTCTTGGAGAAAGTGCAGCTAGGGTGCTCCATGAACTCAGGGATGGTGAAGCTTTGCCTTAAATATTTTGGGCATGTTTTGGGGAGGGATTAGTCTTTGGAAAGGAAATCATGCCTGAAAAGGTGAAGGGTCAGTAAAAGAGAAGAAGACCCTCAACAAGATAAATTAACACAGTGACTATCACAATGGACTCCAGTATATCAGAGGTGATGAGGATGGTATGGGATAGAGCAAAGTTCACATCTGTCGCTCATATGGTCTCTATGAGTCGTAGTCAACTTGATGGCACCTAACTGCAACAGCAACGATGTGGTATATAAAATTTTCCTTTTGGTTGGCCCACTGTAACTTTTTGCATTAGTTGAAAATTACCCGTGCATGAGGTGCCACAAATTTAATTCTGTGAGAAACTAAATTGGTCAGAGATTATTTTATCATTAAATCTAGCCCCTCATTCCTTACTGGTCTTTCTGTCTTTCCTAAAAAGTCTATTGAGAGCCCCTTTCATGTCCTTGTTCCTCAAGGTATAGATGAGGGGGTTGAGAGTGGGAGTCACCACAGTATAGAAAAGAGTCAAGAATTTCCCTCCTTTTTGAGAAAAATAACTTCGGGGTTGGATGTAGACAGCAGTGACACTGCAGTAGAAGAGGAAAACAACCATGAGGTGGGAAGAGCAGGTGCGGAAGGCTTTGCTCCTTCCTTCTTGGGACTGAATTGCCAGCACTGCCTGAGTAATGTAGCCATAGGAGACAAGGATGAGCAGTAGGGGCACCATCAAGAAGATGGCTCCAATCACTGAGATCTGGAGTTCATTGACGTGTGTGTCTCCACAGGCTAGGCGGATCAATGCAGGGACTTCACAGACAAAGTCGTCTACTTTGTGGTGATGGCAGAAGGGCAGTTTCATTGTGGTGGGTGACTGCACCAAGGTGCCAAAAATTCCACTCACCCAGACCATAAACACCAGCTTCTTACACAACCTCGGGTGCATAATGACTGCATAGTGCAGAGGCCGACACACTGCTATGTAACGGTCAAAAGCCATGACCAACAGCAGGACACACTCAGCAGCACCCAATCCCAAGAAGATGTAGAGTTGAGCTGCACATCCCAAGTAGCTGATGGTCTTGTCTGGGCCCCAGAGGTTGACCAGCATCTGCGGAATGCAGCTGGTGGTGAAGCAAAGGTCCAGGAAGGAGAGTTGGGTGAGGAAGAAATACATGGGTGTTTGGAGATGAGAGTCTATGTGGGACAAAAGAATGATGGTGATGTTGCCCACTAGGGTGATCATGTAAAAGATGGACACAAGCACAAAGAGGGTAATTTCCAGCCTTGGACTGTCTGAGAAGCCCAGAAGGATGAAGCCTTCTGGAGTTGTATCATTAACCCTGTTCATCCAGACCCTCCTGTAATAGGGAAGAGGAATACTTCAGAGAGTAAGCAGAGAACATTAGTTTTGATTTTGTAAGCCTGCAAGTCACCTTGATTCACTAATGTTTTGTTCCGTCTTTCTAGTCTTGGTTATTCTAGCTTACTAATTTCTTCAGGCTCAGATCATGCTAACAAACCACTAGAAGATGAGAATGTAGTAGATGAACGTTCGGAAACAGCCTATGGCTTACTTTTGGTAACAACATTACTTGAATTTTCTACTTTCCTCTAGAATCAAAGATCCTTTTGAATGTCTGCTAAAGTGGCATTTGGTAAAAATTTGCCTTTTTCAGTGCCATAAAAACAGAACTACCTCTGTATTCCACCTGAAGTGTGCCCATTTTTCTTCTAATAAGAAATGTTCTTCATTATTAGTCTCTATTGGTTCTGGGTGGCCTATTGATTGCTTTGTAATAATGACAGGGTAATTTTGTAAATCATCAGTATTCTTTATAGCATTGTACTGTTAGGTGGTAATCTATTTAGTAAGTAGTTATGTAGTAGCTCTCCTTCCACATCTAGAAAAGTCTATTTCAGTTTATCTTTAATTAGTAATTTGATAATGATACATTTTATTTTTTCTCAACTCTGAAGTTGTTTTTCTGAATAATAAATAGGTATGAATTTAAAAATGTTAGTAAAAGAAAAAATGATCTCAGTCACATTTTAAAGCTGTATGAAACTCTGATATAGGGTTAGTTATGAGTTGATTAAGTTGTTTTTCAGAATAATACATATGTGTGAATTTAAAAGTATGTTAGTAAAAAGAAAAATTATCTCAGTCACATTTTCAAGTTGTATCTGTGTAAAAGCCTGATATAGGGTCAGTTATGAGTTGATTCTGACTTGTCAGTAATGAGTTGAGTTGACAGGTAACTTTGGTGACTTGGGTGCTTTTCTTGATGGATTAGGCTGCCATGTGAGAAAGTCAGCAGTATAAAGCTCTGTTACTGTCAGTAATTGTTACTAATGATCATGTGTATAGTCTCTAAATAGAAAATAACGTCATCATATTTTGTTAGTTGAAAATATTTCCTCTGCAACAAGTACTGAAGATTTATGTGTATGAATTTATCCTTATAGGGTGAATTCTGGCATACACACTGTTAAAATCAAGAATATTGAGATGTGAAATTTCAACTTGATTCAATCTTATTAGTTGTAAAAACAGTGCAGCTGATTTGAAGCCATCAGTGCCTGACCTCCACTAATGTCACAAAGGGGAACTAGTCCCATCAACAATTTCAGTAGCACAAAAGAAATTTCTGTGAGATTAGATATGCTGCCACGCTCTAGCATCTACTTCTATACATTTTAATTTAAGCCACCAATAGTTTACTATTATACCTGTCTCATAGACCTCACCTCTGTTTTGACTCTTAGTGACCCTTTATCTGGTTCTTGAGGATGTAAATCTCAGAAAGTGACTGCCCATCTTTCTCCAAGAGAGCAACAGGTGGCTTCAAACCACTAAAGACTTGGTGTTCTTTGGTTAGAAGTGAAATACACTAGAACTATGCCACCAGTACTTTAGGTTGTTAAATCATTGCAATAAATGAACAGACAATACTCACGATTATGGGGTGTATTATAGAAGTAGGTTATATTTCAGGTTGGAAACACTCAGAATACAATGCTTTAGTCAGGACAACATCTTCTCTATTTTGCTCCAAGATACACCTTTCTCTGACTTTTACCCTTGCTGCTTTGGACCACTGTTACAAAGTATGCAGACAAGAAGACAATAGAATGACATAGAAAACCCTGAAAGAAAAATAAATGTCAACCAAGAACTCTATATCCAGCAATATTTCCAGATAAACAGAAATGAAGGGAATTTGTAAAGACAAGGGCAATATTACAAGAAACCCTAAAGATATCTCTTCTCAAATAGAACCAGCAATGAAGATAACAACTTGAAATGAACATATTTGATGATATAATTCAGACACTGATTCAGATATACACAAAGTATATTTAACATAAAAAGTATAATGATAGAACTTCTAAATGGAGAAGAAATAAAGATTTTTAAATGGAGATTTCAAGACAAAGTGAAAAGTTTTAAAGTTAGGAGTAAATTAGTAACTTAAAAGGAAACCTCTAGGAAAATCAATAAGAATTATTAAAAATTAAAAGGGATAACATAAAAACTCAGTAAACACCAAGATAATATCAATAAGGCAAATAACTAGAGAAACCATAAATAAAATGGATTCAGCACTGAAAAGTTTATGGAACAAAGAAATCAGCAAGACTACAAAACAGAGTGCAGTGAAATAAAACTGTGCTTAAGAATAACAACATTAAATATGTATCAATTAAGTGCAGTGGCCAAGAGAAAGAGTAGCAGGATGGATAAGAAAACATAATCCAAATATTTTCTGTGTACAAAAGACACACATTAAACACAAAGAAAAATGTAGACTAAAAAGCAAAAGGTAGAAAAAGCTTATGTTAAGTAAATGGAAAGAAAAAAAAACAGTAATGGCACTATAAATTTCTGATAAAATAGATTTCAAGACAAAACTAGCATGTTGTTGTCGTTGTTATGCGCCGTCGAGTCGCTTGCGACTCACAGTGACCCTATGTACAACAGCCCTAAACTCTGCTCTATCCTATGCCAATCACACTGTCTTCTGACACTCCCATCCCGATTATCCCAGTCACTGAATCAATCCACCTCATAGACGGCCTTCACCTCCTGTGCTGTCCTTCCACCCTCCCAAGCATGATGTCCTTCTCCAAGGACCAGTCTCTCCTTACAACATGTCCAAAGTATGTTAGATGGAGCCTCAGAATCCTTGCCTCCAGAAAGGACAAAATATAATGATCAAAGGTCAATTAAACATTAAGGTAGAATTAAAATTAATATATATGCACCCAACAACAGAGCGACAAAAACATTGATCCAACTTTATCAGATTGAGAGAAATAGACAGCTCCATAACAATGGTTGTCATTGTTGTTATGTGCCATCGAGTTGCTTTTAACTTATAGCAACGCTATGTGCTATAGCCCTGAAACCTGCTCTATCCTGTGCCAACTTTACTGCCTCTGATACACTTACTCTTATTACCCCAGTCACTGAATCAATCCACCTCTTCCTTTCTTTCTCTGTGCTTCTATCCTTCCAAGCATAATGTCCCTTTCTAAGGACTGATCTTTCCTTGCAACATGCCCAAATTATTTGAAGACAAACTTCAAAATCTTTTCCTCCAAGAACAGCCTGATTTCACTCTTTCTAGGGTAAACTTGTTTGCTCTGCTAGCCGTCCATAGTGTATTCAATACTCTTTTCTAGCACTACAGCTCAAAGGCACAAATTCTCCTTCTGTCATCCCTAGTTATTGTCCACCATTCTGACACACAGCAAGAAATTGCAAAGACTATGGCCTGGATCAGGTGCACCTTAGTCTCCAGACTGCCATTGTTGTTCTTCAGTACTCTGGAGAGGTCTCTGACAGTATACTTTCCTAAAGCAATTCGTCTTTTGATTTTCTGGCTGCTGATACCAAGAGTGTTGATTGTGGAGCCAAGCAAGCTGAAGCAGTTAAGAATCTCAATCTCTGCCGTTAGGCCCAGTGGTGAAAATCTTTGTTTTCTTGATGTTGAGCTTCAATCCACATTTAAGGCTGCAGTCCTTGACCTTCTGCAGCAAGCAGAAGGTCCTCCTCAGTTTCAGCAAGCAGGGTTGTGTCATTTGCATAGCATAGGTTGTTGATTAGTCTTCCCTCAATACTGATGCCACATTATTCCTCATTGAGCTCAGCCTCCTGGATGATCTATTTTGCATATAGATTGAAAAAGTATGGAGCTAGGACACATCCGTGGAGTAGACCTTTTCCATTTTGAACCATGCAGTGCTTCCTTGCTCTGTTCTCATGACTGCCTCCTGGTCCAAGCATAGGTTTCACTTAAGCACAAGCAAGTGTTCTGGAATTCCCATTCTTCTCAGAGTCAGCCACAGTTTGTTGTGATCCACACAGTCAAATGCCTTTGCTCAGTCAATAAAACACAGATAGACATTACTCTGGTACTCTCTGCTTTCATTCAAGGTCCATCTAATATTAGTTATAATATTCTTAGTTCCACGGCCTCTTCTGAACCCATCCTGCACATCTGGCAGTTTTCTGTTGATGTACTTGCTGTTCCAGTAGCTATTGAATAATTTTCAGCAGACTCCTGCTTGGATGAGATATTGATGATGTAGTTCAATAATTTCCACACTGTCGGGTCACCTTCCTTTGGAGTGGGAATAGAGAGGGATCTCTTCCAGTCAGTTGGCCAGGTGGTTTTCCTCCAGATTTCTTGGCACAACTTGATGAGAACATTCAGGAGAGCAAAACTAAAAAGAAATTCAACCTAGAAGAACTAAGCAACTGGATATTGTAGACATGTATGGAACACTCCTACTCAATAAGAATACAATAATACACATTCTTCCCTAGTGTAAGTGGAGCATTCTTCAGAATATAACATGGGTTACAAAGCACACCTCAAAAAATTTTTAAAAGTACAATGAAGCCTATTCTCAGTTCACAAAGCTATAGAATTAGTTATCAACAATAGGAAGATCAAGAGAAGAAAATTAAGCACATAGAAATGAGACAACATGCTCATTGCTTGAACATAAATGAATTATAGACAAAATAAAAAAGAAATGAAATAATCTTTCTTGAAGTAAATGAGAATGAAAAAAAAATACAAAAATATTTGAAATTCCGAACACCACATAGAATAGACTCTAAAAGAAAAACACGAAGGCATAGCATTATCAAATTTGACAGAACCAAAGATAAGGAGAGAATTCTGAAAGCAGTGAGGGAGAAACAAAGAGTAACCTATAAGGGAGAGCAGATAAGAGTAAGTCCCAATTTCTCAGCAGAAACCATGAGAGAAAGACAGTGGAATGACATATATTAAACACTCAAAGAACACAACTCTCAGCCAAGAATATTGTACC